TGAAGTAAGGTGCCTGCACAGACCCAGCTCCCATCTGGCAATAGATACAGAACTACTCTATCTGCTGCTGTACCAGTGGACAACAGAGCAGCTTCTTTTCTCAGGCTGTTAGACTCCTCAAAGGGACTACAACTTGCATTGTGTTGTACAAAAAAGCACAAAAAAATAATCTTGTGCTTTTATATTTGTGCATTTTAGTTCACTTTGTTGCCATGGAAGTGGAACTGCATATAACAAGTTAAAAAGTGCATCACCACACATCCCAAATTTGTCCAAGGATGTTTGCCTCAAACACTGAGTTAGGTACAAACAGCCCATACACTCAAATCAAGCAGAAACATGGGGGAATAATTTGCTAGTAACAATGGTACAAGACAATTGTAAATATATCATCCCTTTCCATCAGTTATTCAAGACCCAGCATCATAGAGCCCATACATTTTATAATCCAAACATCCTTTAAGCATGACAACAATGATTTCACCACAGACAGACAACATGCAAAATGTTCACTGTTTTCCATGAGTTCTGATTTAGCTAACATAAACACACACACACACACACACACACACACACACACACACACACACACACACACACACACACAAAGAGGCACACAAGCAGAATGACTGAAATATTCATGCCTTTTAAACTTTATATTTATTCTTCCACACCAGTGACACAGTTTATGAGCCCAAAGATTAATGTTAACAACATTGCATCACTTCTTGGAACATCTTCTCTGTCATGGGTTGTTTTATGAACTGTATGTCCTTGAATTGTATGACACTACTGTAGCTACTAGTTACTAGTTAACAATGTTTGTCTTACAAAAGCAATCTACATTAAGCTATAATTTTAGTTTATGGATGTGTAATGTAACCTAACCACGCACACTATAATAGTCACTGCTTATGTTTGTTGTGTAACTAACAATAAAAAATATCAAAATGTGTAAACTTGTAAATTCCTCTTTATACTGAAAGGGGGAAAATATATTTTATTGTCTACTACTTGAATTTGTTATGGTGCATCAGGCAGTGTGTCAAAAGGTTAGTCATTACATACAAAGTAGCTGCACGGAAGCATGGTGCAAGGAGAAAAAGCTATTGCTGCCTCTGCTGTTTTTCTGTTGTTTTGGCTTTGGTTCAGATTCACCAAAATAATGTTTCACTGACATCATGCTCACGATAGTGAGATAGATCAGTGATTTATGTATTAATAATAATAATAATAATAATAATAATAATAATAATAATAATAATGAGGTCAGGGTTTAAAACGAGTGCATACAGTAACTAATGTCATTGTAATTGTGGGATTCACCAGAAAAAAGCCTTTTGCCATTATAAAGCCATTATGGGATGTCTACATTGGTGTTGCCTTAGGTCAGGCATTGGGGTGCTACTTTGATCACAGAAAGAAAATGTAATCGTTATTTTTTATTTCTTAGGGATATGATGAATCCCTGTACATAGAAGTTCAATGAGCTTCCCCTGCTGATTGATCCTCTGTTATTTTCTTTTAGGAATTAATTATTCCGCACAAACTGGCAGTGGCTCAGATTAACATGATTATCATAATGAACATAGCTGTTGAAATTCTCCCCTAGAAGCCTCTCATTTTACATTAAATAGAGGTATTAGTTTGGCCCTGCTGATTCCCCCTTATTCACTCCTCAAAGTAGGCAAATAGCAGCATGATTTTTAATTAACATGTCCTAAAATCTAAAATCTTGCTTGCAGTCCCTACAGTCTGCTATGTTCATTAAACTCACAATGCAGTTTGAGAGGTGAAATATGATTCGGCATTCACCCTTTAAGCTGACCTGTTGTACTACACAAGTAATTTCTTAGAATGTTTTGCGGCAAATTATATTTTATGTTTGGAGGAGCTCATACTCAGTACATTCACAACACAAATATATCTTTGCTTGCAGCAGTGCCAGTAATATATGTGCAGTATTTAGACTAGATGGGGATGTTTTATTTAATTTATAGTTGTGTTATTGTAAAATAAGACATTAATAAATATTGATGCTGAACTTAAATGTTTTCCGCTTTAACTGAATAAGCATATCACAGTATTTTTTTTTTTTCTGTACCCTACCAAGGGAACATCTGCCTTCCACTCAAGGTGTTATGATTAAACTGGTATTTAACTGGTAAGTGTGGTTGCCCATTCCATCTCTGGACATTATTTATTTATCAAACCATTACTGGGACCATGCAGTTTTCATCTAAAATAATTGGAGATTTATACATCAGGAATTGCCTAATACAACAGGGACCTGCGGTTCATATATATTTTTTTCTTTTTCTGTCTGTCTTAAGCCATTTGTATTTCAAACTTTGACTGCAATTCTAGCTTGCACAAGTGTATGTGAGAGTGAAAGTGGACAGAGATGCAGAGTAAAGTGATTTTCTTGATTTTAAAACATGGCCCGATTTCAAGCAAAATCCCAGCTGTCAGTGAAGCTCTGAAGATATTTGGGAAGTTGAAACATTTTCAACGACATGAAGAAAAAATTTGTCCTCAACTCAGACTCAAACACCAAACTGCATTTGTTTGATTCTGATCATGCATTTCCATTGACTTGAAAAAATGTCTGACTTTGGCACCCCTTTGGTAATAAAAAAAAAGACATAGTGGTAGAAACTAGTGCAGGCTGATCAATCCCTCCCACACCAATGTGACCACCGAGATGACTACAGGCAATGTAGACTGCACCCCTTTTTATTGAGATTATAAAATCTTTAAACAAGTTATACATAAATACACACATAAAAATACTATACTAAATATACATAAATATATGAAATCAGTTTCAGAAGATATTTTTTTCAAGGTTGTCAGTGCATTTATTTAAACTAAAATAATACAAATATCTGAACTGTCAGTGCAATACTGTAGTAATAATATTTATTTGCTTCTGAAGATGCTCATCTCAGAGCTTAGCCCACTAAATGTGCATTTTGTTTGTTTATTTGTCACATTCTTCAGAGCTAAAACAAGATATTCCAGCGTTGGTCAAACTGTAAATAGCTGCACTGTGGATCGCTTATGAGGATCTTATATTAACGGAACATTCTTTGTAGGAAGTTGGATTTAAGCATTACTCTGCACCTTGGAATGGCAAGCTAAGGAGAGAAAAGCTCCAGTATAGCTGTCAGAGGATGTATTACATGATATAGTGCACTATCCTGTATATACGACTTTGAGCAATCATCCAACATAGTACAGTAGTTTGGGAATTGACAGAGGAATTCCGAGCACCTCAGCCGTTGAGAGACCATCTGTGTATCCCTGCATGACAGATCAGAGCCACTGAATATTCATGCGCCATCCCTCCCCTTATCACATTAGATTAGAACCCATGTGGCGAGAAAGCAAGGGGAGAGGCTGACAACGCCGTTACGTTGTCAGAGACCCTTACAGCTGTGTGTTAAATAGTACATTTGCCAAATGGACAGTGGGCTGAATGGTCTGTGACAGTGTGTCCCTGTTCTGTAATGAGTGAAAATGTCCTGTCTATTTTAAAACAGTTACACATGAGGGATTTATTTAGGCTTGATTCCAAATGTGATTTAAGAAATGTTAGCCTTTCAAAAATGATTTTTTTTTCTCCTTTTCATTTTTATATAATGATTGCTTTCATAAGACCAGAGTATACAGTAAATACATGCACACTTCAAGGCCATTGGTGATATTTTGAAAATTGAATCCTCAGTGTAGAGTAAATAATGACAATTTAGAAAGAAGATTAAGCCTTTATAATATGTATTTTTTCATAAATACTGTATGATGGATGGATTTACAAATAGTTGTTGATGTACATGAAGTCTGAAAGGAGTGCAAATATCAAAAAGTCCATTCCACAAGGAGCTTGAAGAGAAATGAAAGGAGCAATGCTTTAAACACTTTTTGGAGCCTTGCAGATGAGGCTGCCAGTTTGCTCATGTATGAAATATGAACTCTCAGAGACAAGGTCACTTATATTTGACTTACCTAAATATGGCATAAAAATAGTGTGAATCACTGGGGCTTGAAGAGATAGCCAAGAAATATCCATTAAAGAGGAAGATCTTCTGCTACCCTTCTAAAGCAATAAAAAATGCTTGGGAGGATAAACTAATAGGAGTCATTATTGTGTCAATACAGAAGCACACCTACTTGTCCACAAATCCCTTCTGTAAATCAGCAGGGGATGTCAGCCCTCATTGTAATAGCCACGTTAATTGCAGCATCTCATACCTTACAAAGTAGAAATAGATGTTGTGAATCAGTAACCACTTAGTCAAGATGGTCCAAGTGTGCTTGGATGTGAATTCCTATGGGTGGTAGAACTCTGGAGATTGTTACAGATCCCTTCATGTGGGTGATAAATCTTCCCATTAAGTGGCTGCAACGGCACATTGGTAATTGATATCAATGTAGTTAAGGTGGAGATGTGACACATTTACAGTGCTGGTGCACTGGTCAGCTGTGTTTTATGTGCTCTTGTGGCTGCCACATGAATGAGGGTCACCTATGTGCCTCATGAATCCTTAAACAGCTGCTCTCTGCTGTTTGCCTGGCTGGCAGGGAGAGTCGGGCAGTTTGTTATAGGACTTCACCAGTGCGGCTGCAACGCAGTGTGGCGAACATCTGTTGTGTGTAAAGAACAATGCTGTGAAGTATAAATATATTTGCATATGCATAGGTTCTTCCGCCTCCTATAAAAGAGGTCTTGAAGTATCAGCACTTTGAGAAGGTACTCAAAGAATAGTGGGAAAAAATTGTTTGCCTGCAAAAATTACAAAAGAGAAAGACAGTGAAATATGCAAATGTATTTCATATCACTGTCTTCAGTCTCCCACTGTAAATGGTACTCCATATGCTGAAAACAGCCTCATTAATGCTCATTTGGCTTTGCAGTAAACTGATACAATACATGAATTATTAACGCTGTAATAAATGGAGCTACAGATTTTTGACACGTTGTTGTTTCTCTTCCTTAGGTGCACAGGAGGTGGTGATCAGATGTCCCCTTAATCACATACAGTGTATCGGGACAAAAAAATGTATTCATTTCAACAAACTCTGCAATGGGGCTAGAGACTGTGAAGATGGCTACGATGAAGGAGTTCACTGTCGAGGTAAGAGTTAATGATGCTTTCATATCCCGACTCTTTACGCCTTAGGTTTATAATGCATAAATCAATACGTATTCTCATTATGATGTTAATTAATCAGATCATGCTCATCTTATTTGGATTATTAAGACTTCGAAATTTATTTTACACATTAAATCTGTGTTACATTTGTAAAATATATAGCTGTGGAAAATGCTTTACTTTTATTCCGTGTTAATGTGCTTTATGCAAGATATCCATAATACCAAACTTAAGTCAAGTAAATTTAAACTAAAATGGGTTTTTTTGTTGAGTTCAAGGGTATGCATGATGGTTGATATTATAAATGATAATTTATGAAAACATGGCCTGAGCTGGCACTTTCTGACATTTGTGGTTAAACTGGTTGCCAAGGTTACATCTCATCATCCTTCTTGTCAGAGCAGGGAAGACACACAGTGTGAAGGTAGCACCAGGTGTTGTGTTGTACACAAGTTTTTGTTGTTGCTCACATTCTTAGCAACTATACCAAGCTGCTATGGACACCTGGCTTCTGTGATAAGGCAGAGTCTGCCTCATGATTTCTGCAGTCTTGGCACAACAGTGGCCCCTGTCTGGCAGAAACCACAACCTTTTTTGACCCGTAAGACAGTTAAAGTCATGCTGGGCTTTGTCTCTGTGTGAGTGGATATGGTAGCCTCTGATTCACAGCTGTGAAGAGTCCAAACGCCTGTTTGTTGGCACGGAGAAGCATAAAACTCTTGCTACAGTGTTTCATTCTTTACACTATTGCCTGCATTGATGAATTTACTTTGTAGATTGCCTGGGACCAGAGAATGGAATTAAATCAATATTGATTGAAGTGGGAAGACAGTGTAACAATATGCAAAATGTCAGTTTTGGTTTAAAAATTGCTATTTAAGTTTATAGATCACCTAAAATGCATCTAGGATAAATGAAATGTCTATACAGTATACTTTTCAGGGGATTGATGGCTGTAATGTAACTACAATAACATGTATTGAATACTTTCCAAATCTGCAAAATTGTGACTGAGCTACAAAATTATTTTCAAAGGGTTAATAAAGTCTGTTCACCAAACTAAATAGCAAAGAAGAGTAAGACGTCAGCAAACTCGGTTCAAATACTGTGTTCATGTCAATTTAAATAAAAATGCGCAAAGCAACCTGGGAGATATGCTCAAGTCAGCCCAGATAAAACATGCAAGCAGTTTTTGCAGGCTCAGATATCTCCCATTCATGCTACATAGATGTATAAACACAGACAGACAAATGACAGTAAATTCACTTAAGTTGGAAGGAAGGTATTAAAAAAAATCAGCTGCTATATCAGCTACTTTTTTCTATTTTATAGATGTGCATGGGAACAAATACAATAGCCATCATGATAATACATTCATACTGCTTGCAACAGTTGCCCAAAAAAGACAACAGATATAGACATCATTATAATATACTGCTATAATACAATTAAAATGCAATAGCTGTAAGCCTCACCTTACTGTTCTTTTAAATGTTTAAATGTTTCTTTAATTTAAACTTAAAAAGCACAAAGACTTCCTTTTTTTAGTAAGTACAGAAAAATAATAAGGCTGTATTGCACAGAACTATTTTTCCCCTTATAGCCAACCTTGTATTGGATATCTCACAGACCAAATAATAGAAAAAAATAATAGAAAAAAATAATGAAGCATCTTAAAACAGTAAAAATCACACAATCTATTCAATTCAATTCAATTCAATTCAATTTTATTTGTATAGCGCCAATTCATAACAGAAGTTATCTCAATACACTTTTCAAATAGAGCAGGTCTAGACCGAACTCCTTATAACATTATTTACAGAGACCCAACAGTACCATCATGAGCAAGCACTTGGCAACGTGTTGGGAAGTTTTACAGTTATTGAAAAATATATTTCCTGTATCTCAAAATTAGTTCTAAATAAATGAGCTACCAGATTTTTTTGTCTGTTCAAGGTTTGCATGCTTTTGTGAAGAGTTTTATATGCAACACTGGTATAATACATTTGAAATTTGTTACAAATGAATCTGAAGCTTAAAGTAGTTTTATAGACCCTGGTTTCAGGACCTCCAATATCCATTTATTTATCAAAATGTAATTTTTCTCTCCAGCATATAATGAGTGAGGATAGAGCTGCACTTGAATTACCAATAAATCCAGAAAACATGTATGCTCTCTTATGCATCAGTTTAATTTGGATGTACTGCTTTGCATTTTAAATGTGTTGTTCAAAGAGTCAGGGTTAGAATGTCAGCCCACGACTACCAAACAATGGATTTACTGCATATTTCATTCTGTGTCACACTCCATACTTTCTTTCACAGTAAGGGCAACTTTCTGTTTCACTGAAGTTCATCGTTAACAATAACTTTAACAAAATCTGTGTAGCAAACATTAAGAATATTTCCAATGTAAATCTAGAAACTAATGCTCTCTATGGCTTTATAGGTGCTTGAACAACATCTGCTTTTTCACTTTCTATTGTTATCTCCTGTTACTAAACTTGCTATGGCCTTGCATAGACCTTAAAGGATAGCTTCAGTATTTTTCAATCTGGATCCATGTTCTTGTCTCTCAGTGACTAATGGCAACAACAATTTTTTAAATTGGTCTAGTATTGAGCGAGAGGGCTGCAGGAATCTTTGAGGACAATTGCATACTGTCAGTGCACGTCCATTGAAACTGCTTGTTTTTCCCACTGATGTTTGTTGGTGTAAATGTCTGACAAAATGATGTAATTGATCCATACAGAGCTTTGTGTAAAAGATCCTTTTTGGTTAACCAGAAACAGTAGCTATGTCGCTCTGTTCAAAGCAACCAAACTCTATTGACAAAAACTGTGGATTATTGCAACATCGTAACACTTCATCCAAACACTTCATACAACTCTTCGTTTTCCACTGTTCCAATAATCACTATTAACTCAATGAATTAGATGTGAAACTATTCTGGCTTTACAGGCCATTTTCCCCAACAATCTGAGCCAATCAGTGGCAAAAACAAGCAGTTTTATCAGACGTTCATTGACGGTACACAATTGCCCATAAAGAATATGTTGCAGCCAGTTTTTTGACTCAATAACCTCTCGCTCAATACTGCACCCATTTCAAAAATTGTTGTTGCCATTAGTCACTTAGACACAGAAACATGGGGAAATACAGTCCCTGTTAAAAAATACCTAAATTCCCCTTTCAGAGATTTTACATTATTCTTGTCAAATATATGTCATTTTGCATATATCTTGTCAGTGGATAGGTAACATGACATACAAATTCCTTTAAATGCCACTATCTGATGTGTATGAATATGTAGTTTGAATTCTAACAATCCACCTCTTTGACCTCCTTGCCTAAAGCAGTACAAAGATGCATTCTTTCACAAAGAGTAAATTAGTTTGATTGAAAATAGGAATTTGTTTTCTTACTACACAATTTTTGATTTCATGTTAATGAACTCAGTTTGTGTGGTGCCATCATTCTGCTTAAGTTCACTCAGGAATACATACTGTACAGTATGCTTAGTCCCACATGGACAGACCAAACTCATTGGGAAGCAGGAGAAATTGAGGTCACCAAAGAGAAGTTTTAGGCAACCAGCTGGGTCTCTTACAAAACTTTTTTCCCTCCCTTTCCTGCCCACCTCTTATGAATATACATGCTGAACATCCCGAGAGGCCTTGATATGAAGGTGCCCAGATGGAAAACCACCAACTCTTTTCGTTCACCTTCAGGAAACTCATTCTTAATCGCATGCTCATGGCTGTGCCGTGGGATCTCAGAAGTCTCTTCTGCTTGCATTGAGGAAGAATTACATAAACACAATTCAGCTTCAGACTTCATATGTTATCTTAGGGCAGTCCCAGAAAGTAAACAATAAACTAATTTCTTCCAAATGAACATGGTGAATAAAAGGAACAGGCTGCAGCTTAGAAACTGAATTTGGAGACTTTGTCAACCCTTGGCATTAGGTCTCTCCTAGATTTGAAAATAAAAGCTTAATTGTGATGCCAATCTTAATCCATGTCTGTTCAAATTGTTTACTCAGTGTTTTCACTTTTTCACCAAAATGTGTTACATATCAAATTGCCGTATCAACAAAATACGACAAAATTATTAAAAAGACATATTTGTCAGTACTAAGCACTCGGGTTTGCTTTCCGCTTTTTTGAAACAGTGATACAATCTGACTGGAGAATATATCATGATTGCACATACAGCAGTGTCATCAGATCACTGATAGACTGATAGATGCCAACTAAACACTGTCACTTTGCTGTCTCTAAGTGAATGTCAGAAATGCAGCCTTGACTATATATAGTGCAGGATATTACATAACTGAATGATATAAACCCAGTGACATTTTGCTTAACATTTAATTTACTGTTAATTTCCACAGCAGTTTGGTTACGGTCTTAGTTATCGTATGATAATTACCTTCGAGTTTAAACAGGTTATATCATTTGATTAAATTTATTTTTTCATTGCTTAAAACTTCGGAGGTCCATTTATTGAATTTTATCCTGGTAATGTTGCTTCGTAATTAAATATTCTACATACTGGTTTTAGTTACTTTTGTGCTGACACTAGTACATCATAGCTGACACTTTTCTGCGCAAAGAGTGAATACAGCTGTTCGTGTCTGAGTGCCCAGGAAGATCATCAGCATTAAGTTTTATGAGTCAGATACAGGTTATAAAAACATGATAGCCTCGGCTTAGTTTTCATAGCAGTGTGAATATTGGCAAAAGCAGGGTTATGAGATTGTTTTCATGACCTTGCAATTTAGTGCTTTGTCCATTCATATTGTATATTGTGCCCTTCCCAATGCAAATGATGCAAAGGTAGGAAAACATGCACTTAAATGGGAGTTGCACATAAATTGTAGCACAATTTCCAACCAGTAATTACATGTAGATCCAGATTGAAATGACTATTTTACTGATTTATAGCAATAAAATAAATAGAATTTGCAGTTCCAGTTT